GCGCCTCCGGGGTGGTGGGCAGCGCGCGAGGGCGAGAGCCGAGGGAGGCACCGCCCGCCCGCGGCTCGGTGGCGGAGAGGAAGCAAGAGGGCCCAAGTTTGCAAAGAGAGCTGCTTTGTGCTTGGTATTTTGAGAAAATGGCCGAATGCCTATTTCAGTTAGGAATGCCGCCGCCGAGGCCGGCCCTGGTGGCAGCAGCACATAGGAATTCCGTGCAACACGTTGCTCTCGGGCCGGGCTTGCACAGTCTTCCCGGGAAACGTGGGGGTTCCTTGGGAGTGTGGCAGCTGAGGTTCGTGGGGAGCTTTAAAGTGGATGTTGAAGTGTGTGTGTGTGTGTGTGTGTGTGGGGGGGTGGTCAGTTGTGGAATCCGTGAGGCTGTTAAACCAGGGAAGAGCTGTGGCCCGCTGTTTCCTGTGATGGCATTCGAGTCCCAACTTTTTGTTGGGGCATGGAACTGAGCGAGCCTGTGTTTAGACGCTCGGTGAAAACGGAGTGCTTTTTTGCGTTTTCGGTTTTAAGTTTGTCTGTTCGTGCTTTCCGCGTCTCTTGCCTTGACTCATTTGCAAGAGGGACAGCTGAGCTCGAGGCTAGCACCTTTGAGGCTAGAGGTTGAGGCCATTTGAAAACTCAAGTTGTTTTCAAGAAGGTGATCTGTAATGGCTTCCTCTAGGCAAGTAGGCCAAGTCAAGCACAATGCGCCAAAGTTGCTGGTTGACGTGTTGAGTTGCACGGCTGCTAGGGAGTTTTCAAACAGAAAAACACTTTAAAACTTCCCCTTTTGTGGGGAAAAAGGATCCATAACCACCCCTTTAAGTTAAGAGTCATCAAAAAAAAATTAAAAGTCTTACTTTTTCTGAGTTTATTCTTTTAGAGTTAGTTGAATTTCCAGGAAGAAAATTAACTCTAACAGATTTCTTGGTGTGCTCATTATGTGCGTAAGAAATGCTTGTGGATTTTGGGGGTTCTCATTCAGACCACTGAACTGCTGAAAGGGAGAAGTGAGAGAACAATAGTTTACTATTCAGTGCTTTGAATTCAAAGTCATTTTAGCTAACATTAAAACGGTTAACCGCCAGAAAAAAGGTTGACACACTTGCATGCCAGCGGTAGAACTAATGGATGAAAGAGTTGCATTTTTTTTTTCCTGGTATGGGGGAAATAGTTACTCAATTGTATGCTTTTTGTGACTGCAATAAAAGATAATTGGAAATAAATAGCAGCGTTGCCTCAGCCTCCCTAGCTCAAGGGTTACAGACCGGCACCCACCATACCCAGCAAGAAACCATTTTCAATTTGTTGTTAGAAGTCAATGAAGCTCAGTGAGTTTTAAAGGTTGCATTGGAAAAATGCTTGCTTTCGTTAACGAGGGCTGGATTTAAATGATTGTTTTGTTTTTTGTTTTTGGTGATACCTTAATCAGGGTGCAGTCATGGCCACCCAGGTGATGGGGCAGTCTTCTGGAGGAGGAAGTTTATTCAGCAACAGCGGCAGCATGGGCATGGCCTTACCCAACGACATGTATGACTTGCATGAGCTCTCCAAAGCCGAACTGGCTGCACCTCAGCTCATCATGTTAGCAAATGTGGCCTTGACCGGGGAAGTCAACGGCAGCTGCTGTGACTACCTGGTCGGGGAAGAAAGGCAGATGGCAGAACTGATGCCCGTGGGGGACAACAACTTCTCAGACAGCGAAGGGGAAGGACTTGAAGAGTCTGCTGAACTAAAAGGTGACCCCAGTGGGCTGGTAAACATGGAGCTGAGAAGCTTGGAGCTAAACGCCGTGGAACCACAGCCTGTATTCGAAGCATCCCCTGCCCCAGAAACGTACAACTCGAATAAAGATCTCCCTCCGGAAACGCTTGGGACCGAGGACAAATGCAAGAACTCGAAGGCCAAGCCCTTCCGCTGCAAGCCCTGCCAGTATGAGGCAGAGTCGGAAGAGCAGTTTGTCCATCACATCAGGGTTCACAGCGCCAAAAAGTTTTTTGTGGAAGAAAGCGCAGAGAAGCAGGCAAAAGCCAGGGAGTCTGGCTCTTGTACGGCAGAGGAGGGGGATTTCTCCAAGGGCCCCATCCGCTGTGATCGCTGTGGCTACAATACCAACCGGTATGACCACTACACGGCTCACCTCAAGCATCATACCAGGGCCGGGGATAATGAGCGAGTCTACAAGTGTATCATTTGCACATACACAACAGTGAGCGAGTACCACTGGAGGAAACACTTGAGGAACCATTTTCCTAGAAAAGTCTACACGTGTAGCAAATGCAACTATTTTTCAGACAGGAAAAATAATTATGTCCAGCATGTTCGAACTCATACAGGTAAGAGAACCTAAATTCTATTTCCCAAAATGTGATTTCTGTTAAGCTTATAGATCAGTTCTGAACACATCCCAGGGGGAATTGAGGATTTTTTTTTTGACTTTTTTGTTTTTTCAAGACAGGTTTTCTCGTTTGTGTTTCAGTTCTGTCTTAGAACTCAACTACATTTGTTAGACCAGGCTGGCCTCCAACTCACAGTGATCCTCTTGCCTCTGCTTCCTGAGTGCTAGGATCAAAGGCGTGTGCCACCATTACCAGGCAGGAATTGAGGATTTAGATAGAAAAGAAAACCTACTGATTATACACACTATTTTTTTTTTTTTTTTGTCTTTTTGGAACAGGCTATATATAACTCTGGCTGTCTTTGAAACTCATGGTTGGCCTCAAACTCTGATCCACCTGTTTTTTCCTGCACATTGCTAGGATTAAAGGCGTTCACCACTACACCCGGCCCCAACCCTTCTTATGAAACAGGATCTAAAGTAGCCCATATTGACCTTGAACTCACTAATCTGTAGCTGAGGATATTTAACTTCTGATGTTTTTGCTTCTACTTTCCAAGCAGTTGGATTACAGACACGTGTCAGCTATGGTTGGTTTATGAAGTGGGGATGGAACACAGGCTTTCATGTACGCTAGGTAACCGTTCCCTGCTGAGCCATATGTCCCTTTTTCCTTTTTTGATTTTCTTTATGTGTGTGTGAGTAGTTTGACTGCATGCATGTAAGTGCACCACGTGTGTGCAGTACCTTTGGAGGCCAGAAGAGAGCATTGGATTTCCTGGAACTGGAGCGAAGGAGAGTTACAGATGCAGAAAGCCGAACCCTGGGTTTTCTGCAAGAGCAGCCAGTGAGTGGTTTTTACTGTCGAGCCATTTCTCCAGCCAAGAGTAAAATCACTGCAGATTTAAGCCATTTTCCTAAGAGAGCAAAGACACCCATGAGAATTACTTTCAGCTGGAAGCAGCATTTGTTCAGCATCTCCTGATGCCTACAGGTTATGAGGACTTTCAGGCCCAGGAGTCAGAAATTCTGAGAGGTTAGCAGTGAGGCATGCATGTTAGGCTCCCCATCTCCTGCATCAAAAGAAAAGTTTTCAAGGGGCTGGAGAGACGGCTCAGTGGGTAAGAGCACTGACTGCTCTTCCAGAGGACCCAGGTTCACTTCTCAGGACCCACATGGCAGCTCATAACTGTCTGTAACTCCTGTTCCAGGGGATCCAACACTCTTACACAGATATACATGCAGGCAAAAACCAGTGCACATAAAATAAAAATGAATCATTAAAAAGAAAAAAAGGAAAGGAAAAAGTGTTAAAAAGCGAAACAAACCCACAAAACTTCTTTGAGACAGGGCCCGAGGTCTTGCCATGTTGCCCACTTGTGGTTGTGACTAATCAGAATGCTGGTATCAGTCTCCCTGATACTTTCTTTAAAATACGAAACATTGCTGTAGGGATGGCTTAGTGGTCAAGAGTACTTGCTGCTCTTCCAGAGGATCTGAATTCAGGTTCCAGCATTCATGTTGGGTGGCTTTAAAACCTGTGACTGCAGTGCCAAGGGATTCCACACCCTTCTCTGGCCTGCATCTACACACATGGCACATAGACACAGAAAAAAAAAACCAGTTCCTTTAAAAATGTGAAAAAAAATCTCAAGAAAAGACTCAATAGTAACGTCAGGAATGAGTGAGGGATTAAAAGGGCTTAAAATAGAAGTGTAGATGGATGTCAGGCAGTCAGTGGTGGTGCATTGACTCCAGGAGGCAGAGGCTGAGGCAGGCGGATCAGTATCAGTCAGGCCAGCCTGGTCTACAGAGTATTCAAGCACAGTCATAGCTACACAGAGAAACCTTGTCTCAAAAATGAAAAAAAAAACCCAAAAAACAAAAAACCAAAAACCAACCATATTGTCCCGGAAAATTGATTTGCTCTAAATGTATGAAAGCATTACAGAGCCACTCTGTCCATGATAGTTATTCCCTTCACCACAGGATTTCAGGTTGTCCAGCCAAGTATCTGGCTAATTGAGAGTAATTTTAATCTAAACTGCATCACTGTTTCTGCCTTCAAACTTTGTGAGGAGAGATAGATTCTTTTTTGTTGTTGTTGTTTTCTTGTTTCTTGTTTTTTGAGACAGGGTTTCTCTGTGTAACTTTGCACCTTTCCTGGAACTCATTTTGTAGCCCAGGCTGGCCTCTGCCTCCCGAGTGCTGGGATTAAAGGCGTGCGCCACCACTGCCCGCCCCAGAGATAGATTCTTGCTGGGTTTGTTTCCAGCCACCCCTTGGAGGAAGTGAAGATGCTAAGGAGGCTCCCCGGGTCATTCTGGGTGTGTATGCTCAGACATGCAGCTGTAGATGGGGTCATCAAGGAACAGGAATAAATGAGAAGGCCTCTGAAGCCCAGGCTAGCTCTGGATTCCCGCAATCCTTTAGGGGGACTATAGGAGTGAGGTGCCAGTGGTGTCAGTTTTTCAAAGGTAACCTCTTTGGGGACATTATTCATTTTTATACCATTTGTTCTAAGTGTCTAGTTTTTAGTCTGTTTCAAGTGGTGCTGCCATTACTACAGTACTTTGAAGACAGTCCAGGGAAGAAATTATAGCAGTGTGGTGGCACATGCCTTTAATACTAGCATTTGGGAGACAGAGGCAGGAATATCTCTTGAGTTCAAGGCCAGCCTAGACCACATAGTGAGTGAGTTCTGTTGATTTCAAATTCTACCTGGGTTTGTGGTGTAGCTCATGTATAGAGCTCACAAAGCATGCACAAGCCCCTGGGTTTGACTAACACTCCCCTCCCCCAATAAATAAAAACAACCAAGACAGACAGGAAAAAAAAAAGAAAAAGCCAGAGAAATGCCTAGCTCACACTTGCAGTGAGAACCAGAGCTCAAGGTCATTCTCTGTTAGAGACAGCCTGGGGCTGGCTACACAAGCCTCAACTCAAAACACTTATCAGGATGGTAGTCTTTTCCTGTTTTCCCTCAGTCCCTTACTTATCTGCCTCATTTTGTGGTAATAGGGAGCCAACCAGAGTCAGCTGGGAAAAGCTTATCATGGAAATGCCTTTTTTTGTTAGGCATTTGTGTGTATAACCTTGGCTGGCCTGAACTCCCCAGGTTTTTCAGGCTGTTCCCAAATTCCAAACCATCCTTTTGCCTTTGGATCCTGAGTGCATAGATTACAGGCCTGTGCCACCGTGCCCAGACTTGTTTTCTGTGACACAGGTTTGTTCAGTAGTAGCTGGGCCTGCCTTGAATTCTGGCAGTCCTGCTTCAGGTTAACAACTCTGTGAAGAAAGGTGTAAACCCCAAAACTTAGACCTCACTATCCTGCCTCAGCCTTCTGATGAACATACTGATGGGATGAATATATTAGTTTTACATACATATATATATACACAAACACACATACATACATAGGGCAAAATGGCAGGAGTGTGCTTAGGGCTATTTTGGAAATTCTGCTCTGGTCCCAAGCTGAAAATTCATTTAACCATTGTCCGTCCCCCCCCCCCCCCCACACACACACACAGGGTTTCTCTTGTGTAGCTTTGCGCCTTTTGTGGAACTCACTTGGTAGCCCAGGCTGGCCTCAAACTGAACTGACAGAGATCCGCCTGCCTCTGCCTCCCAAGTGCTGGGATTAAAGGCGTGTGCCACCACTGCCCGGCTCATTTAACCATTTTTAATTTTATTTTTTTGAAACTCAAGTCTGGCTGTGCATGATGGCACACACCCTGAATCTTGGCTAGTTCCAGGACAGCTGGGGCTACACAGAAACCCTGTCTGGGAGGGGAATGGGAGTCAGGGCAACAGGGGAACTCAAGTCTGCTCTTCCAAGAGTACCCATTCTGATCCAGTCCACTCTAAGCATATATACTAGTGTGATACATATATGCAGTCAGAAACTACTGAAAGGCTTTGGATTCTCTTGTGAGACCATGTTTCCCTAGGGCTAGAAACTTTGTATGTACAGTAGTAAAGACACTGATCCAGGGTGTTTGAGGCAGCCTTAGTGAATGCTGTACACACAGAGACAGCAGTGTGCTTTGTGTTTTGAGAACCAGGGCTACAGAGAGAGAGAGTTGCCAGAGACATCTCAGAGTGCATGTCATATAATGTAGTCCTGGCTGTTCTGGGGCTATCTAAATCAGGTTGGCCTGGAACTCACAGACATTTGCCTGCCTCTGCCTCCCAGTGCTGGGATCAAAGGCTTGTGCCACTAAACCTGGTTCAGATTTTTTAATTAATTTTATTTCAGAAACTTGTATTGTTGCCAGTTGTTTTGAAGCCCACTGTTTATGAAGTAAGGGCTGCTTGGATTTTACTCCATGATGAGTGAGCAGTGTGTATCAGACAATTGCTAAACTAAACTAACTTGATCTATGCTATCTTAAATAGATATCATATGTACTTCATGCTTGTTGAACAACTTTTCTTAAACTTTAGTGTCTAATTTAAAATAGTCACGTCTTGGGGATACAGCTTAAATGTGTCCTGCTTGTGTAGCGGACGTGAATTCAGTTCCCCACAGCCAAAGCTCACAGCTGCCTGCAGCTCCAGCTCCAAGTCATCCTGTAGCCTGGTCTCTGCAGGCACGTGTACACACCCACTCAACACAATTAAACAATGAGAAAGTGGCCTGGAACGCTGAAACAGTATGGCTTAATCTCAGCAGAAACAGGCAGGCAGATATCTGGGTTTGAAGCCTGCCTGGTCTTTTTTTTTTTTTTTTTTTTTT